TTGTGTCCCTGGCCAAAAAAAATAGGATATTTTTCTTCCCCCTTTTCAAATAGTGTCGTGGGATTATTACCATCCACTTGGACACGGACACATGACATTGGTCTGACATCTCATCTCTAGGATGCCACCTTCAACAATGCAATACAACCCAGCACTGCAGTGGAGTGTTCAGCCCAGACTATGTGAGTTCAAACTCTCAATGTGTACTTGAAAATAAAACCCTCTGATTCAGAGGTAAGAGCACTACTGAATGAACCAGGCAAGCACCTATTTGAAAAAGAAATATGTACAGTGTAGTGTAAGTAGTGTGTAGAACATGTCCCTCACATTTTCTTATGTACATTATACACAAAATCCATATTTCAGGTGTTTGTCTGCATTACTCATTTACTGCTTTGGAGAGATTAACAAATATGGTAATTGTTAATGATTTGGGACTGCTACCTGGAATGCATGGCAAAATTTGATCCCGTCTTGTGTGGACTCTGAGAATCCAAACGTGTGCAATTTATTATTCCTAGAATTGTGATATCATAGAACTATAAGAATTTTCAGCACTTAAGGTCATTCGGTCTATTAAGTCAGTTTATATTGTTTTTTTTAATATAATTGTCTAATTCCCTTTCAAAATTTATTATGATTTTGCTTAAACCATTGACTATGGTAGGGAAATCCATGTGTTAATACCCCCACTGGATGTAAAAAAAAAACCTCTCCCTTTGTCTCTCTTTGATGATAATTTTAAATTATTTATTTACCGAGTCACCGATTATAAAACAAAAAAGCCTATTTTTCCAAGAAAGTAGAAATAATGTGGAATTTATGTAGGAAAGGACTGTTCCAGCCTCCAGCAGGCCTCTCAAAGCCAATCTCTGGTTATTACTGGACTTGATCCCTGTCCAGATCTCCAGTAGTGAAGGAGATTAACGTCTTTCTCTTTACACCACCTACCTGGAGTGCCTGGTCTCTTTTTTGTATAAATCTTTAAAAGGAATTTCTAAAATAAAATCGGTTGCACCAACTAGAGAATTTACCCCCCCACCCCCCCCATTACCTAGGGTCATATTCCTTCTGCAAAGCATCATTCCAAAATCCTAACCATGCATGTCCATTTAGATTGAACAGCCAGTTCAAAAATTTGAAGGTTTATGTTTTTAGATAGCATCTAAACAGTTTATTCATTATATGTATTATTTTAATTTTCCTGTTCTACGTTTAGTTCTTTTGTCTGTTTATCCTCTGTTCTAAACTTTGTTTTAACAATCCAAGCACCTAATGCAGTTTACAACATGCTACTGTTAATCATTTTATAGAGCAAAGTCCCATATTCTGGTTTTGAAGACATTTGCGTAATTTAAGTCTTAAATTACTAAATGTCCCAAACCAGAGTTGATTTTGCACTCTTTACTCACTTCAGACTCCATCAATATTAACTATATCATTTTTGGACTTGTAGGAGTTTCAGGAATTCCATTGTCACTTGCTATCAGTTTAACATTTCAGCTCTGGCACTTTGTGGCTGAACATTCTCTTTATAGTAATAAGCTGAGTCAAATTGTAGAAGTAGCTTTATTTACTGTGATGTTGAGATTTAGATTGCTATCAAATCCTGAGAGAATGCTGACTCCCTTGGCTGGCAATTATGTCGTAAAATGTTATTTTTCTATCATGATACTAAAATAATCACTAATATTATACAGTAACAAACATATACAAATGCCACAAAAATTCATTATAACACTAATAATCCATTTATTTAAGATAGCATCTTATTACATCGTCAAAATCTCTCGAAGCTTTTCACAGGATTTTACTGCAGAGCGTAGTGACCGTGATTCAAAAAAAATAATAAGTTGGTCACTCAATCCACGACTGTTTGTGGGACACTTCTGTGCAAAATTGACTGCCACGTTTCACCCACAAAATATACAATCAATTCACTTTACAGTATATTCTGTGAAGTGCTTTGAGACCTCTTGAAGATATGATAAGGTGCTACATCAAATGCAACGATTATTATTATTATATTTATCCCTAAACTGCAAAATGGACACTTCACCCTTAGACTGGTAGCAAAATAGTTATGGATGTTTCTATCTCCATAGGCTGACTGATGACTGCTACTTCCTGAACTTCTCCAAGCCTATTCCTTTGATTACCCCTCCTCTTAGCAAATTCTGGTTTGTGTTCATCCTCTGTGATCTCAGCGCCACCATCAATGGTCTAGTCTTTATTTCTTACACCCCTAACCTCTGGAACTTTGCCCATGTCCGACTGTATCTTACTCTCTTTCCTTTATTGTTAGGTATTCCGAGACTCTACCTTCCGAAAAGGGTGCCACATAAATACAGGTTGGTGTTATTGTTGTTGTAAGTCATGCCTCAAATCCCAGCTTTCATACGCTTCTCTGGCCACCTCTCCCTCCTCTGCTCAGGGTCGAACTGCATCCCTGTAAAGTGCTCTGAGATAAATGCAAGTGGTTGTATTGTGACTCTGCATTATTTGAGATGGAACGTTGAAGCTATTCATTCGAAGTTACATCCATCCTAAATCCATTCAACTTTTGCTCAGACTCTGCCGGAGAGAATGTGTGTTTCATTCAGAGATAGGTAAATGTGTAGGTGAAATACATATGTGGACTTCTCAATCTGGTTTGGATACTCTTAAACATATGATAGGTTTCCGCACGCGTCAGACAATGGGCTGTCCGAAAAATAACTGTGAACGTTTAACTTTTGGTGTTGGTGCAGAGGGTGGGAAATTGCAGTTTGTGATTTAATAGTTATCAATGGCATCAGCTATCACTGATTAAAGTTATCACAAGTGCAATACCTTGTAGGCATCTGCCTACGAATACATAGTTACCGCATGTTTTAACTCTTCTAGCAGTTTCAGGAATTCCATTCTCTCACAGTAATACCTGTGAATTGCTTTAGGACACTTTGACATAAGGCACTATATCGAATGCAAGATTAGTATCATAATACTGTACCATGTAGTCATGTCTACACTGGTCACCAGTCAATAATAAGTGTGCTAATGTTACTAGTCAGTAACAAGAGAGTGCTGAAATCGCCAGTCTTTAAGCAGGATTTCCTTGGAGCTGAACTGGCAGTCTGTGTGGTGGTCTCGGTACAGCGGTTCCTGAGCCAGGCGGGTCTGCCCTGTTCCAGGGCACTGCTGATGACAGCACAGCCAGCCAGCCTGGCGCATTGACAGGACCTGGAATTAGCAGACCAGTCACTGGAGGCAGGGAGTCATCCCACTCAGCTCCTGCAAGCTAAAGCCCTAATGGGTAGTAGACTTGTCCTATCTGGACAAGCAGCGGGAAAGCTTGCCAGACAGCAATATCAATGGCAATCTTTGTGGTTTTAGTTGGTTTGACTACAGCAGTTACCCCAACACACACTCTGGGGTTCCCAAGCCTTGGCTCTTGCCAACCTGGACCTAATACGTTCCCGAATTAGTTAAGCAGGACCCGTCCCTCCAGCGAGACAGTGCACATTCCATTCCAATAAATATTTATGGGGTTTCCAGGTGTAGGTGGGAGGTGTGGAAATCTCTGTTCCGTTTGGATACTCTTTAGCATTGTGATGGGTTTCCGCATGTGTCAGACACCCGTCTGACCGACAAAAAACAGTCAATAACAAGAGCGTGCTGACATCACCAGTCAATAACAAGAGGGTGTTGACATCACCAGTCAATAACAAGAGGGTGTTGACATCACCAGTCAATAACAAGAGCGTGCTGACATCACCAGTCAATAACAAGAGCGTGCTGACATCACCAGTCAATAACAAGAGCGTGCTGACATAACCAGTCAATAACAAGAGCGTGCTGACATCACCAGTCAATAACAAGAGGGTGTTGACATCACCAGTCAATAACAAGAGGGTGTTGACATCACCAGTCAATAACAAGAGCGTGCTGACATCACCAGTCAATAACAAGAGCGTGCTGACATCACCAGTCAATAACAAGAGCGTGCTGACATAACCAGTCAATAACAAGAGCGTGCTGACATCACCAGTCAATAACAAGAGCGTGCTGACATCACCAGTCAATAACAAGAGGGTGTTGACATCACCAGTCAATAACAAGAGGGTGTTGACATCACCAGTCAATAACAAGAGCGTGCTGACATCACCAGTCAATAACAAGAGCGTGCTGACATCACCAGTCAATAACAAGAGCGTGCTGACATCACCAGTCAATAACAAGAGCGTGCTGACATCACCAGTCAATAACAAGAGCGTGCTGACATCACCAGTCAATAACAAGAGCGTGCTGACATCACCAGTCAATAACAAGAGCGTGCTGACATCACCAGTCAATAACAAGAGCGTGCTGACATCACCAGTCAATAACAAGAGCGTGCTGACATCACCAGTCAATAACAAGAGCGTGCTGACATCACCAGTCAATAACAAGAGCGTGCTGACATCACCAGTCAATAACAAGAGCGTGCTGACATCACCAGTCAATAACAAGAGCGTGCTGACATCACCAGTCAATAACAAGAGGGTGCTGACATCACCAGTCAATAACAAGGGCGTGCTGACATCACCAGTCAATAACAAGAGCGTGCTGACATCACCAGTCAATAACAAGAGCGTGCTGACATCACCAGTCAATAACAAGAGCGTGCTGACATCACCAGTCAATAACAAGAGCGTGCTGACATCACCAGTCAATAACAAGAGCGTGCTGACATCACCAGTCAATAACAAGAGCGTGCTGACATCACCAGTCAATAACAAGAGCGTGCTGACATCACCAGCCAATAACAAGAGGGTGCTGACATCACCAGCCAATAACAAGAGCGTGCTGACGTCACCAGCCGATTACACGAACGCGATGACGTCACTAGCCAACAACACACGTGTGCTGACGTCACTGCGGAGGGAGGCCGCCGCCATCTTGGCGGTTCAGCGGCGGCTGCGGGTCTCGGGTTTGTCAGTTACTACACTCCCCTCCCCCCACACCCCCCTTCCCCCCCCCCGCACCATGTCCGCCTTCTCCGAGGCTGCTCTGGAGAAGAAACTGCTGGAGCTAAGCAACTCCCAGCAGAGCGTCCAGACCCTGTCCCTGTGGCTCATCCACCACCGCAAACACTCCAAGATCATCGTCCTGGTCTGGCACCGCGAGCTCCGCAAAGGTAAGAGAGAGACTGAGACACACACACACACACACAGGGAAGGAGAGGACAGGGAGAGACTGACACACAGAGAGAGTGAGAGACTGGCCTCAGAGAGAGAGCCTGGCCTCAGAGAGTGAGAGACTGGCCTCAGAGAGAGAGAGAGAGACTGGCCTCAGAAAGAGAGAGTGAGAGACTGGCCTCAGAGAGAGAGAGAGAGAGACTGGCCTCAGAAAGAGAGAGTGAGAGACTGGCCTCAGAGAGAGAGAGAGAGAGACTGGCCTCAGAGAGAGAGAGACTGGCCTCAGAGAGTGAGAGACTGGCCTCAGAGAGAGAGAGACTGGCCTCAGAGAGAGAGAGAGAGAGCCTGGCCTCAGAGAGAGAGTGAGAGACTGGCCTCAGAGAGAGAGAGTGAGAGACTGGCCTCAGAGAGAGAGAGACTGGCCTCAGAGAGAGAGAGTGAGAGACTGGCCTCAGAGAGAGAGAGACTGGCCTCAGAGAGAGAGAGTGAGAGACTGGCCTCAGAGAGAGAGACTGGCCTCAGAGAGAGAGAGTGAGAGACTGGCCTCAGAGAGTGAGAGACTGGCCTCAGAGAGTGAGAGACTGGCCTCAGAGAGTGAGAGTGAGAGACTGGCCTCAGAGAGAGAGAGTGAGAGACTGGCCTCAGAGAGAGAGAGTGAGAGACTGGCCTCAGAGAGTGAGAGACTGGCCTCAGAGAGTGAGAGACTGGCCTCAGAGAGTGAGAGTGAGAGACTGGCCTCAGAGAGTGAGAGACTGGCCTCAGAGAGAGAGAGTGAGAGACTGGCCTCAGAGAGAGTGAGAGACTGGCCTCAGAGAGAGAGAGTGAGAGCCTGGCCTCAGAGAGAGAGAGTGAGAGACTGGCCTCAGAGAGAGTGAGAGACTGGCCTCAGAGAGAGAGGGTGAGAGACTGGCCTCAGAGAGTGAGAGACTGGCCTCAGAGAGAGTGAGAGACTGGCCTCAGAGAGAGAGAGTGAGAGACTGGCCTCAGAGAGTGAGAGACTGGCCTCAGAGAGTGAGAGACTGGCCTCAGAGAGTGAGAGCCTGGCCTCAGAGAGAGAGAGAGACTGGCCTCAGAGAGAGAGGGTGAGAGACTGGCCTCAGAGAGTGAGAGACTGGCCTCAGAGAGAGTGAGAGACTGGCCTCAGAGAGAGAGAGTGAGAGCCTGGCCTCAGAAAGAGAGAGTGAGAGACTGGCCTCAGAGAGAGAGAGTGAGAGACTGGCCTCAGAGAGTGAGAGACTGGCCTCAGAGAGTGAGAGACTGGCCTCAGAGAGTGAGAGCCTGGCCTCAGAGAGAGAGAGAGACTGGCCTCAGAGAGAGAGACTGGCCTCAGAGAGAGAGAGTGAGAGCCTGGCCTCAGAAAGAGAGAGTGAGAGACTGGTCTCAGAGAGAGAGAGTGAGAGACTGGCCTCAGAGAGTGAGAGACTGGCCTCAGAGAGAGAGAGAGACTGGCCTCAGAGAGTGAGAGCCTGGCCTCAGAGAGTGAGAGTGAGAGACTGGCCTCAGAGAGAGAGACTGGCCTCAGAGAGAGAGACTGGCCTCAGAGAGAGTGAGAGACTGGCCTCAGAGAGAGAGACTGGCCTCAGAAAGAGAGAGTGAGAGACTGGCCTCAGAGAGTGAGAGTGAGAGACTGGTCTCAGAGAGAGAGAGTGAGAGACTGGCCTCAGAGAGTGAGAGCCTGGCCTCAGAGAGTGAGAGTGAGAGACTGGACTCAGAGAGAGAGACTGGCCTCAGAAAGAGAGAGTGAGAGACTGGCCTCAGAGAGTGAGAGTGAGAGACTGGTCTCAGAGAGAGAGAGTGAGAGACTGGCCTCAGAGAGAGAGACTGGCCTCAGAGAGAGCGACTAGCCTCAGAGAGAGAGACTGGCCTCAGAAAGAGAGAGTGAGAGACTGGCCTCAGAGAGTGAGAGACTGGCCTCAGAGAGAGAGAGACTGGCCTCAGAGAGAGAGAGTGAGAGACTGGCCTCAGAGAGAGAGTGAGACTGGCCTCAGAGAGAGAGAGAGCCTGGCCTCAGAGAGAGAGACTGGCCTCAGAGTGAGAGACTGGCCTCAGAGAGAGAGAGAGCCTGGCCTCAGAGAGAGTGAGAGCCTGGCCTCAGAGAGAGAGACTGGCCTCAGAGAGAGAGCCTGGCCTCAGAGAGAGAGAGTGAGAGACTGGCCTCAGAGAGTGAGAGACTGGCCTCAGAGAGAGAGAGAGAGAGCCTGGCCTCAGAGAGAGAGAGAGCCTGGCCTCAGAGAGAGAGACTGGCCTCAGAGAGAGAGAGAGAGAGAGAGCCTGGCCTCAGAGAGAGAGAGTGAGAGACTGGCCTCAGAGAGAGAGAGTGAGAGACTGGCCTCAGAGAGAGAGAGCCTGGCCTCAGAGAGAGAGAGAGCCTGGCCTCAGAGAGAGAGAGAGCCTGGCCTCAGAGAGAGTGAGAGCCTGGCCTCAGAGAGAGTGAGAGCCTGGCCTCAGAGAGAGAGACTGGCCTCAGAGAGAGAGAGACTGGCCTCAGAGAGAGAGAGTGAGAGACTGGCCTCAGAGAGAGAGAGACTGGCCTCAGAGAGAGAGAGTGAGAGACTGGCCTCAGAGAGAGAGAGACTGGCCTCAGAGAGAGAGAGTGAGAGACTGGCCTCAGAGAGAGAGAGAGAGAGAGACTGGCCTCAGAGAGAGAGAGTGAGAGACTGGCCTCAGAGAGAGAGAGACTGGCCTCAGAGAGAGAGAGAGAGAGAGCCTGGCCTCAGAGAGAGTGAGAGACTGGCCTCAGAGAGAGCGAGAGAGAGACTGACTTCAGAGCAGAGAAAGAGGGATCCTGGCCCTAAAGCAGAGAGCACCTGGCCTGAGCCACGGTGTTTGCTGCTTTATCCAGTGCCTGTGCAGCCTCGGGATCCAACTAGTCAACTGGACGGTCAGGTCCACTGTAATTCTCGCTATGAGAGATAATCAGAGGGCACCATGTTATTACAATAACAGGATATTAACACAGCATCTCCGTCTTATTGTGATCAGTGATATACAGGATCACTGCATCCTTGTTACTATTATAATATCGACAATGGTCCTCATATCACTGAACTATCAGCAATTAACCTACTGTTATATCAATGCTTCATATTCATGTTAATCACGTACTATATTTGTGTAAGCAATGCAGTGTTATTGCAATATTCATAATGCATGGTTACTATAATGCTAGTGGTCCTTGTAAAATTGACAGTGCACAGTATTATCACCATTATCACCAGTATTATTACTGTTTCAGGCTTATTACTCTATTGGACTGCATTCTTGCCAGGATCTCGGTTTTGCACCATGCCGATCACAATAAAATAGAATAACAATTTTGTTGTAGTGGGCATTCTCCTGGAAAATAATCTTGTTTACTGTTAGACTATTCCTGTGCAGCCTTTCTCCAATTTTTGTTACTTCTGCATTAAGGTAATTTCTTTTTAAGCTTTCCTCATTTTCACACAGTCACTCACGATCTAGGCTGACACTCCAGTGCAGTGCAGTAGGTGTGCTTAATTGTTGGACGTACTCTCCTTCAGATGAGACTTTAAACTGAGGACCCTGTCAGGTGGACGCGAAAGATTCCATTGCACTATTCAAAAAGGGCAGAGAGTTTTTTCCACTGTCCTGGCCAACATTTCCCAGATAAAATTGGTCACTCACTTCATGGCTGTTTGTGGGACATTGGTGTGTGCAAATTTACTGTTGCATTCACGTACACATACACAGTCATTGCACTTCACAGTAAAATCTTGTGAAGCACTTTGAGACATCTTGACAATGTGGTAAGGTGCCATATCAAATGCAAGGATTATTATTGTATATTTAAGCCATGGCAGAAAGGTATTTGCCTCAAGGCATCACATTATACTACACTGAAGACATGGATAAGTCTTGTGATGTTAAAACCCAAATTGGCTTCTGATTATACAAGGCTTCAACTTTTCATCGCTCAATAGGTCAACATATGTACCAGATTTGCTTAAACCCTTTTTCTCAGATACCATTGTTCTATTGGTCTACATTTCTGCTCAAATCTATGTCTTTTAGTGTTTGGAGTGTGCCATTTTGTAATTTTGGTATTCTAATGCTGCAAGTAGATGATTACTGATGAGAAAAATTAATATTGTTTGAGCCTTGAGGTGTAAGCCTGAATTAGTTGGCACTCTCGACTGTCAGAAAGTTCTAGGTTCAAGCCCCACATCAGGACTGGTAGTATATATAGTCTAGGCTGATACTCCAGTGGAGTGCTTGGGAGTGGTGTCCTTCACATGAGACTTCAACCTATGTCATGTCTGCCTGCCCAGGTGGACGTGACCTGGTTGACGTCAATAAACCAAAGCTCTCCTGATTGGCTTCCGTCAGCGCCTCCACACTTCAGGCACTGGCAGCATTACCATCCGTGGATGCACACACCACCTCACTGGCGTCTTGTTGGAATGCTCACCTATCCTTTCTACCCCACATCCGTGCCATGACCCGCTCTGCCATCCTCCCCACTCCAGAACATCACGCAGCTCCGCCACTGCCTCTCCGCTCAGGCTGCTGAAACCCTCATCCATGCGTTTATTACATCCAGGGCAGCTCTGCTTGTTGGCGTTCCCGACTCTTCCCTCCACAAGCTACAGATCATTCAGAACTCTGCAGCTCGTGCCCTCTCCCGCACCAGACTCCGTGATCCTACCCCGCCCACCCACGCCTGGCTCCAACAGCTTCCCATCCCCCAGAGTATTGAGTTCAGAATCCTCGTCCTCGCCTTCAAAACACTCCACAGCTTTACTCCTTCCTACATGTGTGATCTGTGAACTCCTTATGCCATACCAGCCTGTCTGTTCTCTCCTCTCGGCAGGCTCCGAGTCTTCCATGGCCCCTCCCAGCCCATCCCACCATCGGCGTTCAGGCCTTCAGCATCTCTACCCTCACCTTTGGGATTCCATTCCACATTCCCTTTGTTTTGCTCCCTTCCTTGCCTCCGTCAAGGCACGTCTCAAGACCCCCCACTTCGACTGCATATTTG